TATTATATATGTGTTGGGGTAGTAAGGGTGTCACAAAGATAACCAGTCCATTCCAAGAATGATATGTAGTTGACTAAGAGGCAAACAGATAAGATCAACCAGAATTTCAACAAGGACTTGTAAAAGACATTATAAACAAGCAATAGGAGTATAAACAAGACTACAATTTGAAGTCGTGCGAAAATGATAACTTAGGAAAAAGGCAAAAATTAACTTTTCACAAATGAGTGTATAACATAAAGAAGTAAGTTGCACAAAATCAAGGAGTACAACTAAAAGGCTCAACATCACATAAGGATAGGTTTTTTAGCAGTTTCTAGTTGATTAAAATGAAGCTACGTCCACCACTACTCGCACCTATGCTCGCAACACGAGTAGTACCACCCAACCACTACTTCTTACGTAAGCAAGAAGTATCAAACAAACTAGCAACCAAAGAACCAAGGAAAACAACCCTACCACAACACATAGTACATATCAAAGTTCATAGGGAATCAAAATTATGGCACACAACACACATCCAAACATGAATCAAAAGTAAACAAGAAAATGCAATCATAGCAATTACATAATCAAAGTACACATGAAAATCACACAACACACATATCCGATTTGAATCAACCTGGCTCTGATACCACTAAATGTGACGTCGTTTATGCCACATACCATAAACACAAAATTAATAAAATCTTAGTAACTTAATCTCTCATTATTAAAATACCAAACATGTTCAAATAGAGAGCACCACATCCATAACTTAAACAAATAATATAATCAAGAAAAATTACTAAAGAAATAAAGCTAAGGTTTTCAAAATAATTTAATAGAAATAATATCTTAATCTAATCCTATTTACGTCCCGATGTCACATGTCCTATCAGAGAAACGCCCAACACTGAAGCCTAAGCTTCACCACCAACATCCTCAGCCTCATGTTGATGCTCACCTACGTGATAACCAAAGGAACACAACACAAAGAAAGGGAGTGAGAAAATCTCACTCTGGCTCACTGTGTAGAAATATACACCGGATAATCAAACACAACCAAGGCACATATATGTACATAGCATAGATAGATTAACAACAATATCACAGTCCCCTAATCCAAGACATAAAAATCAATTTAACATATAACATAAAAATGCACATTTAATAGACACGGACTACATATTATCATGCATGTGGCGCTAGTAAAACATCACATGGTGCATTGTCGCTAGCAACACACGTAGAGTAGTCTAGGAATACATGTCAGGTCACACCCTCTGCGCATTCTCACTAAAAAGACATACTATTAGGGTCTGGTCGGGATAACTAAGCTGTGCAAGATACATCTCATGCACACAATAGGCGAGATTAGGACTTACAAACCGAGCTATCCCCAAGGACTAATCCCTAAGCTTTTACACAAGGGGCTCTTCCCTAGCGGTGTATTCCATATCATACCCTGAAAAATATTTATGCAAATGATGCATGTAAATCAATACTTTATGCATTCTCATATCACATTATCATGTCTCATTATCATATAACATTATTATGTCATTCCACCATATCAATTTTATCACATCACATACTCATTAATTATATTCATTGAAGGATGACATTGAATAACACAAGAAATTGACATCATTACATATCATAGATCACCAGAGAGAAGTAACACATGATTCATATTGCACCAATAGAATTCATTAAACAAAGAAGGGAAGAAGCATAACAGGGTAATTGGTGCTTAACCCCAGATTGGGCGCTTAGCGCAAGGCTTCTAGAGAGTAATCTTAACTCTCTGGTTGAGCCACGCTCAGCGTGGGCCACGCTAAGCCTTAGGCTCACGCATAGACTAAGGATCATAGACAACATTATCAACTTTCTGTCACCTTGACGCTTAGCGTGGTTTCTACGATCAGAAACTTTACAGTTTGCGATTTCATTTTTACATCCAATCCTCAATCTATTTATACATTTGGTGAAAGCATTCTACATCATGCAATAAACATTAAAAACACTACAATTTACTCAACCAATTACATCTTTTAATCATACTCTCTTACAATTACCAATGCATTCCCTTAGGATTTCCCATAGGAACCCATAGAGATCTCAAATCATACAGCTACAATTCTAAAACTGAAATTGATCATTCATTCGAGTAATTCATACAATTAATTACATACAAGAAGAAAAATAGGTGAAATGGACACAATTGGGAAAAACTCCTCACACACATCTTTTAATCATACTCTCTTACAATTACCAATGCATTCCCTTAGGATTTCCCATAGGAACCCATAGAGATCTCAAATCATACAGCTACAATTCTAAAACTGAAATTGATCATTCATTCGAGTAATTCATACAATTAATTACATACAAGAAGAAAAATAGGTGAAATGGACACAATTGGGAAAAACTCCTCACACATGAGCATACAACAAACACAAGATTGGGGGCCAATCCCACTACCCAACATACATTCCCACACCCAAAGCGAGGTTTCTCACTCCCCCTACCTTATTGAGCAGAAAAAGATGAACGAGTAACTCTAGGGTATTTTCCTCATCTTTCTGGTTCTCTGAGCTTTGAAACATAAACGCGTACGTAAGAAAAATGTAAAACATAAAATTGATCAGCTTTCTCTCTTTTTTTCTTTTTAAAACTTAACCTTCCTTTAACCCTTTAGTAAAAATGTGAACCATGGTTATCAAAAATAAGTTCTCTTCCCTTATTATAAATAATTAAATAATATAACCTTTAATTATAAAACCTCACTGTGAAGAAAACAAAATTGAAGAAGAAATTAATATTGATATTCTAAAACAGATATAAGAGATGAGTTTATAAAGCTAATAATAAAGTTTGTTATAACAGAATTGCCAACTAATCTTGATCTTGACTAATATCCTTTATAGCCCCCTCAAACTAAACTTGCCTGTATCTTGAGTTAATCTTCGCTTAGTTGGTTAACTCGGATGGAACAAGGATTAAGTTATGAACAGAGAAATCTTTTGAGGACCATGGATAAAAGAGTTGCAATCTGAGCAGGGAACCAATCCGTTTTACTTGCTGTTTTATTTTGTTTTATTGTGTCACCAACTGAAAATATGAAAACAAAACCCCCCCTACTGTGTGTTTAAGCCTTTAACAGTAAAAGAAGATCCTTGGGAGACGACCTAGGAGTTACTTCCTAGTAATACATTTAATTGTATTTATTTGACCGGATACGACTTCGATCACCCCTGAATCCCTTGCCCCTGAATAAACTTCTCTAAGCATCATCTATAACTTTATTATTTTATTTTCAGGTATAAGGTTTGTTTTGTGCAACCCCTTTCCCTCGAAGAAGCCTCTCTGGAAGCATTGGAAGCCTCATTGTGTTTCTTTCGAATAGCAGGTTTGTCTCACCTGGTCGTAAGTTTCTGATGAATGTTTAGGGTTTCATCGAGTTTAGGGTGTTTTGTGAAATCTGTGTTGTAGGGTTCTTTCTGAGGAATAGTTGAGTTTTCCAATTTTGATGTGGTTCTGTGTTCACATGCACTTTGTTTTCACTTTGGATATCTTTTTGTAATGGGTGGTGCTATGTTGGGAGGTGCTAAAAAGTCAGGTGTTTGACTTCTATTTGGCATAAAGCACATGGTGTTTTCATGGGAGGGTACTGAGTCAACAATCAGCTGTATTTAGTGACTCTAGATTCAGTTTTAGTCGTAAACAAGAAATTGAATGAAGTCAAAGAATTGATTCGTTCCAATTATTGCTGAACATTTTCAATGATTTGATTCTTCAGCTGAATCATTCGGTGAATATATATATTAACTATTCAGTGGCAAATGAGGATTGTCAAAATTCAAAGAGTACTATAGAAAATTTCTGAATCAGTAACTTGTTATTTGTCCATTCCTTTTCTTAGGTTAACTATAGAAAAAATAAGGGTTCTTTGTCCTTAGCTTATGCCTTGTTCTAATCTTTTTAGGAGATATTATTTGAATTGAGAGTTGTTCTTCAGTACTGAATTTGACTTTACACAATATGAATACATTTGCAGGGGATCAAAGATATTTGGGTCTTTTGTGTCTTTTCTGAAGAGCAAGGATTCAAATGATGGAACAGAGCAAGCTTTGGTTTCTGAATTGAGTGCTTTGGATGACCATCTTAAGGCCCACGTACATATGTGAATTTATAATAAACTAATTTTATTTTTGTTAATTATTTTTTTTTGTAATGGCTAATTATCGATGCTAATATGCTGGTGGCATGGCCAGGGTCCATATGTTGCTGGGGAGAAAGTCACTGCTGTTGATCTGAGTTTGGCACCAAAACTGTACCATCTAGTGATAACACTTGGCCACTTCAAGAGTTGGAGTGTTCCTGAAAGTTTGGCACATGTCCACAACTACACCAAGGTATGCGGTTGTTTTCTGCGATGCATGTACTCTTTTGGAATTTACTTAGGTGTGTCTTTTGCTTTGCTATTGAACAGTGACATTGATTGGTATTTGGTGATGAAAATTTTCTGTGGTCAAACTTGTCATCCCAATATGCTTAAAATTTCTTTAAAACGACTCAAGTATC